GCTCATCAGCAAAGGCCTCTCATTGGTCCACTGCTCATCAGCAAAGGCCTCTCATTGGTCCGGGACAGTTTTGTTTGTTTTTTTTTTATTATTCTTTTCAACCACAATTCAAAGCAACGTCTGATTTCACTAAATTATAATTTAACACATTTTTATTTATTGGACTTTTTTCCGTTTCTAGTTATTTCAGTGGCTGCTGTGACTTCAGCCTTTTCTTTAATGGAGGGGATGAATACGTTGGAGGACGACGGTACGCTGGAAGCCCACCCGACCCGCTGAGTGTCGCCCGGTGGGTATCTGTGGCAAAGCAGAGCGAGCTGTCCTATGAGAGAGAGCCCCACTGCTTTAAATCACATCAAATCCAGTTTATTGTTGTTTTTATTGTCACTTTAAGGACCTCATGCAGGAAATGATCCAGTCAGTAATCTGCACATCTACACACTGATCATTATGACTGTATTGTGGGGATCTGTTTGAACATGCTGACATGACTTCATGTTATATTATTATCCATATATTACTCTCCTCACTCTAAAACGTCCCATTTCAGGTCCTGTTTTTTTGTTTTTTTTGCTCCGATGTTGGGAAGCTGCTCCTTCTTTGTCTGAGGGCCGAACTCGCTGCTGGGCAGGGGTCATGGGAATGTACCATGAAGGGATGAGAAAATTAGAGGCTTTATAAATTTGCAGACCTTTTACATGCACAAAAATGTCCAACATCCTAAAGGAAAGGAGAACAAAATAATCATCATATCAGCTGTGTGACGGGTGGATCAGCGGTATTTGTTTGTACTGCAGTTCTCTCAGTTCATCTCTACTCTGTTTTATTTTCATACATCACAATTAGTTTTGATTTTTTAAATGTGTCCTGGAGCTCATTAAACCCGTCTTTTAAATCAGCGAGTCCGTCACATCGCTCTGTTATTTAACACAGTGTTTAAACGAGGGCCCTTGAATCACTGGCACTGAAACGTCCTGGTTGCTCACAACAATCGAGCACCAACACAGCAAACGACCAACAATCCAGGAGAAAGTAAAGGAGCACCACTTGAAGAACAAAGCGAGCGATGAGGAGCTCAGCTTGGATTTTCACATGGCGCTGAGGAAGACCCTCACACAGAGCAGCCTGAGAGCCACTTCACCCTCTCACTGAGGGATGTTCACCTTGAATGGTGACTAATTAGTCTGAATGACTCCTATTCAAGACCCTTGAACAGCTTAAACTGTCTCTCTGCCTCTCGTGCTCATTAGGACGTCATTGAAGCTGAGGTCGCCATGGTTACGGAACACAAAGAGCTCTCTGAGATCACGGTGACCACCGCTGGGTTGAAAAGTTCACCTGTGCACAGCAGTGTGGAGAAGAAGTGACCATCAGGGCTCCAACATGGACCAACAGAACTTAATGTAATAGGACTTACA